TTAAAGAAAGTACCAACACAGTCAAGACGACACTGGAGAAAAACCCGCCACACAGGAATCCATATCCAGCAAGACTGTGCCGCACAGTGAGAGGGAGAGCAAGACGTTCCCAAACAAACACACGCCATGGCAGGTGGTGACCACTGACCTTTCTTGCAAGAACTGCTCCCAGGAGTAGTGCAGATGCAGGGACAGGACAGGAGACGGTAACCGGAGGCCGGGCAAGAGCTAAGGTCCTGGGGCAGGCCAGCACACGGGCGGGAGCTAAGGTCCTGGGGCAGGCCAGCACACGGCTAGTTATAAAAGCTAAAAACCTAAGTTAAGACCTAAAACTATAAAACTCTTAGAAGAATACTTGGGACAAATGCCTCAGGACATTGGATTTGGCAATGATTTCTTGGATACGACAACAAAGGCACAGTTAACAAAAGAAAAAATAGATAAATTTGACTTTGTACCAAATTAGAAATTTTGTACATCAAAAGACACGATGTGCAGAGTATAAAGGCAACCTATAGAATGAGAGAAAATATTTGCGAGTCCATATCTGACAAGGGATTAATATCCAGAATAAAAAGACTCGTGAAACTCAACAATCAAAGACAACCTTGTGCAAAAACAGGCAAAGGATCTGAACCAAAGGATCTCTCCAAAGAAGACATACAAGTGCCCATGAAGCACTGAAAACATGCTCCACATCGCGGATTACTAGGGACTTGCGATCAAAAGTAGGAGATCCCACCTCACGCTCATTGTGGTGGCTACTTTTAAAGAACCAGAAAACAACAGGTGTTGGTAAGGAGGTGGAGAAACTAGAACCCTGTGCACTGTCGTGGGAATGCAAAACGGCACAGTCACTGTGGAAAAAGGTATGACGGTCTCTCAGAAAATTAAAAATAGAATTCCCAGGTGCAGCAGCAATATTTATACTGCAGAGTCTCTACCCAAAAGCACGGAAAGTCGGGTCTCAAAGGGGTATTTGTCTCGTGTTCACAGCAGCATTATTCCCAGTAGCTAAAACATGGAAGAAACCCAGATGTTCACTGATGGGAGAATGATGACTAAAACGTGGTCTTTTCCAATGGAATATTATTCAACCTGAAAAAGCAAGGAAATGCTGGCAGTCACTCCCCTGAGGTGAGCCGTTGAGGACATAGTGCTAGGTGAAAGAACCAGCCACAAACACTGTAGGAATCCACTTATATGAGGCTCTTAAAGGGGGGGTCACAATCATACAGGTAGAAAGTAGGGTGGTGGGCACCAGGGGCAGGAGGGAGGGCAGAATGGGGAGTTAGTGTTTAAAAGACAGAATGACTCAGTTTTGCAGGATGAAAAGCATTATGAAGATAGATGGTAGTACATCAGTGTGAACTAGTATTAATGTCACCGGACCACACAATGGTAAACTTTTTATCTGTATTTTACCACAATTATCAAAAAAGAATAAGCACAAAAAAGTGGAAAAACATGGCAGCAAATAGACTGTGTCAAGGATGCGTGTTTACAGTGAGGGCTGATGCAAGAAGGCGACCCCTTCTCCACCCTCCGCTGCACTGGCAGCCGACTCTCCACTGCTGTGCACGTCTGGAAACGACCGCTGGAGTGCTCTGAGCATCGACTGTGGGCAGCAAATAAACTTTAGCGACTCTGCAGACACAGACTCTGCACCTCAGGGCAAAGACTGAATGGATCCCTACGACAACGGCCTCCATGCCCGGCGGCTCTCACATGCCCTTTGTTCCCAGGTTCCCACGAGCTGCGTCCCCTCAGTCCCATCTACGGCTGAGTCCCGTCCCAACGCACATGTGCGTGCGCTCACCAGTCTGCGCACACTTGGGCGTTTCCACCTTTCAGCCATCACGGACCTCGCTGCAGTCAACAGTCATGCGCAAGTTCCTGTGCAGGAATATGTTTCCTACATCCTGGTATTTTGTTGAATGGTTTCCATGTCTGTATTCATAAGGGATGTTGGCCTGAAGTTTTATTGTGATGTGTACATGTGGTTTGGGGGAAGAGATTGATGAGTAACGAATAAAATATTCTTCCTAAACGTAACTGTGGATTTACTTGAATATCTATCTGTTAGAAGACTGATGGCTCTTCCCTTGTGACAGTGACATAGTTTTCTCCTAAAATATACACCAAGGTATAGAAAGTTATTAGGGAAATGACAGAGTGGGTGTGGCTGCAGTTAAATCATGAAATCAGTATTACTGTGACTGACATCTTCGAACACCTGCTGTAGGAAAAGAACGTGGTACCTGAGTGTCACCTCCCAGGGTGGCCCCGGCAGCGCCCTGCCTGCAGATGGACCCGCCTTTCACAGAGTTAGAGGGTCCGTCCTGCACGTGGGATGGCTCCCGCTTCCTACCATCCACAGAAACCCAACTGTCCTGCCTCTCCCACTTGGACATAGTATTTACAGCAACAGTCCACTGAGGACGGTGAGAACAGAGCCCTAGTTTCCCCAGTAATGGAATCGAGGGGCTGGGCTTTGTACTCCTTTGAATATTAGGAGTACTTTATTTTTTTTTCTTTTACTTATTTTGAGAGAGAGAGAGCACACAGCAAGGGCAGAGAGAAAGGGAAAGAGGGAGAATCCCAGGCAAGCCCCAAGCTGTCAGCACAGAGCCCGCCGCGGGGCTCAAACTGAAATCGAGTTGGACGCTTAACCGACTAAGCCACCCAGGCACCCCAGGAGCATTTTCCAATTTAAGTATTACAACTATCTATGTTTTGTTTGTTTTTAATTTTTTTTAATGTTTATTTATTTTTGAGAGAGAGGGATAGAGAGAGACAGAATGTAAGTTGGGGAGGGGCACAGAGAGAAGAAGGCACAGAATCCGAAGCAGTATCCAGGTTCTGAGCTGTCAGTATAGAAATTTTGTACATCAAAAGGGGTGCGAACCCACGAACTGCGAGATCATGACCCAAGCCGAAGTTGAACGCTTAACCAACAGAGCCACCCCAGGGCCCCAGGTACGACATCTTTCTGAGGTAGGCGCTGCTCTCCCATTTCATAAACTAGAACATTAGGGATCAGCTGGTCACATAGTCAGTGAGAAGGTGCTAGAGGAAGGGTCTGAACCGCGGTCCCTGACACAGGTCTCTGTCATGTGACAGAGAAAGGCAGGGGTTGTAGGCGACACGCTACAGGGCTGCGTAAGAACCGCCTCACCCTAAGCCAGATGATTGAAATCCGAGCTATTTCTCTGAGGGCAGCAGAGGAAGAAAAGTAGGTAACGAAGACAGGGCGCGGGGCCTCAGCCAGCAAGCGGCAAAGAGGCAAGGCCACGTGAGCCACCCGTGGGAAGCTGACACACTTATGACCGCACAGACCTCAGAGCTCCTTGTGTCACCCCAGCCTCAGGGTCCCCAGCACGGGGTGCCCGGTGTCAGTAGCACTTTGAGGGAAAAGCGTGCTGTCTGTGGCACCTCCAGTCCCAGCCTTGCGCGGACAACACTCGTTCCCTCGGTGACCAACGACAGAGCCCACGTGTGGATCTCTGGGTCACACGGTGCTCCACACCCACTGCTCACCCTCCCGCACCCTGTGAGCAAGCACCGTGATCCGGGCCGACCAGGACGGAGCCATAAGTCCACATGGACAGCAAGCAGCCCTGAGAACAACCGCTAAAAAGACACAGAGAAGCCAAGGAACAGGACGGAGAATGGGCCGCGGGGACACAAGGTGACTGAGTAGCGCAGTCTGAAACCAGGCCTCTGAGCGGGCGGCTCCAGGCGGGGGCAGCCGGGTGCAGGTGTGGCCAGGGCAGCGGGAGGAGGGCACGGCAGAGCTGGGGACCCCGTAGAGGCAGCGGAGGGGCTTGATGCCAGCAACGCTGAGGGGCTGGGGACGAAGCGAAAGCCACTACGAGGAGGTGACGGTGCCATCAGCAGGACAGCCAGGCTCAGCGGAGACCGAAGACGCAGCACAGTTTGATCCCGCGCCAGAGAACCAGTCAGAAGGTGAGGCCAGCGGGCCTCCCGCTGTTCCCTTCCAGCAGCGCAGACAAGAAGAGCCACCGTTCGCAGAGCCGCGGCCAGCACGCCCTGAGCACTCTGCACATGTGGCCTTCTCACCTCAGGGTAACACGATGCGCGCAGGTGGCCCACCTGCACGGCAGGGACGGAGGCACTGGCCGCCCTCGGGACTGGGCGCCCAGCTCCACGCCTCAGCCTCCAGGGTCCCAGCCTCCAGCATCCCAGCCTCCTTCTGCCCCAGACACTGTGGCTGCTGCTCCCGGTCTCTGCTCAGCTCTCCTGCCCCCACACTGAGGCCACAGCGGTCACCCTGCAAGTGACCCGCTGCAGGCGGTCAGTGTGCTCGTGTGGTCACCAAAGTTCCAGTCACGACCAAGTCAGCCAGGAATGGCCTCGCCTGCAGGCGGCTCTTTCCTTCAGTGTTTTATTTTGAAATGTAAAGACTCTCCCAAGTGCAGAGACGAGAAAACACGTCCGAAACGCAGCTCTGAGAAGAGACCAGCACAAGGCCCAGCTTTGACTCAACAGTGGGGCACACGGCCTCCCAACCATTAACCTACCTTAGCAGCCTGTTTTCCCATAAAACGATACTGTTACAGCAAAGCCAGGCCCTCAGAGCTAAAAGTTAGCCAAAGTTATAATTTAAAGCGAGCATAATTTTCCAATCCTAAAAAGACAGTGGAAAACACACACTAGCGACCACAAGTTTCATTCCTGGGTTGCTGGCTAATGCCTTTTTGTCAGTGAATTCGCTTGCATCCAGTTAAAAAATGAAAGCATCAATATTATTTTTCTTCAGTATTTAAAAATCAGAAGTCAACACTATTTAAGATAGAAAATGCATTATAAAATTTTTAAGACTTTCTAATAAAGTGATGTTGACCAAACAAACATTACTTTCTTTTCTACCACAGACTAGAAAAGAGAATCGCATGGCTCTGTAATGACACACAAAACCAAAAACTGCGTGTTTGAAATGGGTGCAGACCACGAGCACCCTCCCCACCCTCCAATACCTCGTTTCTGGATGAAGACCCTGAGCAGGGGGTTGGCACTCGAGACTGCCTTGCAGAAGTTGTCGTCGTTGTTGATGGGCAGCAGGTCGCCATGCACATCGGCGTACCCGATGGTCACGTCCGTGTTGGAGATGTGGTGCGTGTGAAGCACCAGGTTGTAGAAGTCTTCAAACTTCCCTGGCTTCTGACGGTCCAAGGAAAATCTCCGGAACTCAGCCCCAAACTGCAATGCAAGACACGGGGAACATAAATAGCAGAGAAAAGACCTGAAATGAGGCTTGTTCACTTCACATCAGGCGTGTCCTGAACCTCAATGAGGCCCAGGACACGGTGGTGAAGTGTGTCCCTGTCCTAACGGAGCTTCTGCAAGAACACGAGGAAAGGGAGACACAAGTGTGAGGGATCAGCTCACTCAACGCTGACCTGCGTCCTGAGGACAGGACAGGTGGTGTAGCTCAGGCTACTGAGGAAAAAGCAATGTCAAAATGTATAATGAGATGGTGGACGAGAGGAAACAGGCACCTGTGCTCGGTGAGGGCCTTCACCTGGGTGGCTGCCCACAGCACAGCAAACACTTGAGGCAGGAGGGACGCAAGGCCAGCTGAACGCTCCGCACATTTTCCTAAGGGTAATGGGCGGTCCTGGAACAATTTCAGTTTTAAGCAAGGAACTCATTTGTTATGATTTGCATTTGATTTTTAAAAAGTCAAATTTTTGATTTTTAAAAAATCAAATTTTACTTATTTACTGAGAGAGAGAGGGACGGAGAGAGCACACACACATGAGTGACAGAGTAAGAGAAGGAAGGAGAGAACCCTGGGCAGGCTCCGTGCTGTCAGCACAGAGCCCCACGTGAGATCACGACCTGAGCAAAAATCAAATCAGATGCTTGACCTCCTGAGCCCCCCAAAGGCCTCTGAATTGCATTTTTCAAAGATCAAATAACTACACTATCAAAGGCTCAAAAGTGGAAGCAAAAGTGAAAGAAAGAAGGAATGTAGTCAAAAGGAGGCTTCACAAATCTCAGGGGACAGGAGCGTGGGCCCTGGTACTGGCCCAAACACGGGGCCGGTCTCTCTCAAAAAAGATAGTATTCGCTCTACCTGCTCTGGGACCCATGTTTCCTGAAAGTCCCTGGCCCTGGCTCAGGTGCCCACCCCGTTCTCTGCCAGGAAAGGACGCGAGGTCACCTCCCACAGGCTGAACCGTGCTGGGATCCGAGGACACCACCTCTGTTTGGCCTAAGGTTTTCTGGATTAGCACATGCTGTTGTCCCTCACTGGGCAATACAGACCTTTATTCATCAGGCAGGACAGATTCAGTGCTCTTCAACACAACTGAAAACTAATTATAGTGGTTCCAAAATACACAAGAATGAAATGTCTAATGTTTACACTAAACGAGTCATTACATCATCTAGACATTATGTCAACTAAGGCAAATCAACTCAGACCATATGGGTTTGTGTGGTTCTCAGAGTGGGCAGGCATCAGAATCACCTGGACCCCCAGAGGTCTGGACTGGGCAGATCTGGAGAGGGGCCCAACAATTTGCATTTTTAACCAGTTCCCAGGAGAAGCTGATGCCCTTGGCCTGGGGACTGCACCCATAAAAGCGCTGGTTTTAAAGGAATCAGTCTCCAAATCTCCATGTTCACAGACCTCGGAGAACCAGAGTCTCTTCATCCATTTCCCTTCTTAAAAAACAAAACAAACCTCTTACCCATCCTGCATTGCCCCAAGAATAAAATACTTCAACACACAGGGCAGTGGGACATTCCAAAATAGCGGTTTGGGAAAAGCCACTTTCAGTGAGTAAGCACTGGGTTAGGGGAGGAGGGGCTCCGAGCTCAGCTTGCCGCAGAGGGCACAGCAAAGGCTCTCCCCCATCTCCGCTGCTGTCAGAGGCGCCCACCTTAAGGAGGGGCCTGTGAACACAGCACAGCAAACCTAGAAATCTCTCCCACGTTGCTGAAAGATAAGCATTCCTCTTCTTCTCTATATTCATTCCAGTGTGCCTTCCACTGGCCGGCCCAGGGTGAGCAGTGCACAATCTCTCACACACAGGGGCTACATCCTATGGTCACGAAACTTTTCAAAGCACAAGAGTTCAGGCCTACAACATTAGTTTAATGTGGTTTTTTTCAGATTCGGTTATGCCATCACATCATGAATATTTATTTCAGCAATAGCCATCATCTCTCCCATCTCAGGTCTAATACAAGCTAACTTCCAGAGTAATCAGTTTTTATCAGTATACAACCTCTTTTCATTAAGCACATAAAGAGAGTTCAATGGTGTCCAGTGAAACCACAGTGTGCCTCTAAGTTTCAAATGCATTTCTTGGTTGACTATTCTCCCAAACTGGACACTACGGCCTCACTGTGATTTAAGGGACACCGGCTGCCTCTCCTTGACACACTCCCACTGGATTAGGCCACATCCTGGTGTGAGCAGTGAGAAACAGCACATGTAAGGCAGGTCCCTTCTGCAACGTTTCTGGTGTAACTGCATTTGGCAGTCAATCTAAGGTGAATCTAATTTATTTCTCCAATCTTTTAGTGGTTTTCTTCAAAAGATGTCTTTTTAAAACTAAAAAAAAATTTTTTTTTTAGAGAGCGAGAGAGAGTGCATGAGCAGAGGAGAGGGGCAGGAGAGACAGAATCTCAAGCAGGCTCCACATGGAGCCTGACATGGGGCTCATGACTATGACCCTGGGGTCATGACCTGAGCCACCAAGGTTCCCCTTCTTCAAAATATGTCTTAACGTGTGGATTTGAAATGAAAATGAATCCAGACTTCTTCCTGACAGAAAGCAAGTCTGATCTGTATTTGACAATGAGGCTGACTATGTTACTCCACCCAGCCCCACCGTGAACATGCTTCTTATGCTGATGAGTCCCAAAGTTTGGAGAAAAGAGGTATGAAATGAGAAATTAGCATTTTTCCTAATTTTTTTTAATATGGGAAAATACACAAAACATGAAGTTTACCATTAAAAAATTTACTGTTTGTTTATTTTTGAGAGAGAGAAAAACCAAGTGAGAGTGGGGGAGGGGCAGAGAGAGGGGGAGACACAGAATCCAAAGCAGGCTCCAGGCTCCGAGCTGTCAGCACAGAGCCCGATGCGGGGGGCTCGAACCAACAAACCGTGAGATCGTGACCTGAGTCAGTCACTTAACTGACTGAGCCACCCAGGGACCCCCAAAGTTTACCGTATTAATTATTAAGTGTACAGTTCAGTGGCAGTAATACATTCGCACTGCTAAGTAGCCGTCCCCATCCATGTGCCTTCTTATCTTGTGCAACTGAGTCCGTTCCCACTAAACACGGACTCCCAGCCCCTCCCCTAGTCCCTGGTGCTACCATCTGCTTGCCTGTCTCCATGAATGTGACTCGTCTGAGTACTTCATATGAGTGGAATCATAGAGTTTTGTCTTTTTGTGATTGGCTCATTCCCCTGATCAAACATGTGATTTGAAACACTTTCTCTCATTCTGTGGGTTGCTTTCCTCTGTGGATCTGGGTCCTTCTAAGGGGAAATGTTACAGCTGTGAGCAGGGCACAGGAGGAGAAGGTGGACTGTTTGAGGCCACTGTCTAACTTGCCTGCTAACCTAGGGCAGGTGCCATAATGCAAGTTTTTCTTAAAACTTTCCTTAGTAAGCACTGAGCTTTGAAGTTGTAACTGTTCTGGACTGAGGAGACGGCCTCCCAGACAGACACCCCCCTTTGTGGAGTTCTGCGGGTTTGAGTGTGGGGCAGCAGGCGAGTGTCTGACGCTCAGCTGTCACTACCTTCTCGTGAGCCTTGCTGCGGGAACAAATACCTACAGTGGAGACTCGGCATTTCAGGGTGGTCTCTAGTAAACTTTAAAGCTGGCTCGGAGGGCACCTGGGTGGCTCAGTCGGTTCAGCGTCCAACTTCAACTCAGGTCATGATCTCACAGTTCATGGGTTCGAGCCCCACGTTGGGCTCTGTGCTGACAGCTCAGAGCCTGGAGCTGCTTCAGATTCTGTGTCTCCCTCTCTCTCTGACCCTCCCCTGCTCACACTGTCTCTCTCTCTCTCTCTCAAAAAAATAAATAAATAAATAAATAAAACATTAAAAAAATTAAAATTATAAAGTTGCTTCAGGCATTTTCATAGGGATACCTATACACTAATGCAGTGTTATTCAAATGTCACATACCTCCTAAAGAATTCTGAAAAACTAAAGGCCAATTTATTTTTAAGTTAGCATCTAAGTTTTTCATAATAAAAATAAATTGTGACAAGGGATGTAATTTCCAGCATACTGTAAATATTTCTTTTAAAAATAAATATTTTATCAGATGATCTTTTAAATATAGTCAATGAAATCTAAATGCCACAGCGATATGATGTTACCATCATGCACTTTAAAATAGAATAGCCAACTCTTGTATAATGATCAGAAATTCTACATGGGTCTTTTCTCTGCTTGGTCTCTTGTTTCTATCACACAGTTCTCCAAAAGGATTGAACCCTAGTATTTTGTCATAATAATTTATTCTTGAGTACCCTTTCACTCTTCTATGTAAGAACAGATAAATTGAATTAAACATTCTTTTTCACATGGCCACAAGACTCTATTTGTGGAGAGTATTCCTACATTGTTGATAGTGGTTATGAAGTTTTAATTCTGGAAGATGGAAAGAGTACTGGAGGGTATGCACAACAACGTGATGTAAACTGTATACTGCTAAACTGTATGCTCAAAAACTGGCGAAGATGGTGAATTTAATGTGTATTTTACCAAAACTATACAGTGATATAAAATAAATATATATTTTTTACAGCAAAAAAGTTTGTAGCCTAAGTCATCACAATGATTAAATCATGATTGAAACAGTTACAAATTTTCATAGATAATTATTAACCATCCAAAGTAAACACCTAAAAACATCTTTCATGAGGAGTGTTTTTGCTAAATGAGGCCAGTGTAACATCGGCTCTTTTCCTCCTTCTCCTTGCTGTGAATGTAAGTTGATGGGACTGAGGGCTCGAAGACATAACTGACCTCAGCTCTATGACTCTTACCAAGTAATGTGCCAAAAAGAAATGATCAGAGAGTGGTCTATCTTTAAAAATATTTTAAATAATCTATTAGCTGACAATTAGGACAACTTTTTAAAAAATGTTTTTAAATGTGGGGCGCCTGGGTGGCTCAGTCGGTTAAGTGTCCGGCTTCAGCTCAGGTCATGA